CTTACGCGAAGGTGTCTAGGCTCAGGAACTATCAATCAAAAGTGACCTAGTATGTATATAGGTGGGGCTAACTCTGTTTGGGGAGATTTGCGTTACGTTTACCCCATTGCTAGCTTCAGGGTGTTATATGAGGAGGTCACAGTCTATTCAACGATGCGCAGCCGTATTCATTTTTGTGTCACAAACACACGTCATGTGTGCCACACACTCTGCAGTTTCGTTTTACAATCTGTTGATCTTTAAAGATTCTTCGGCTTTTTTACCGTTCCAGATCCCGTGTACTAGAGATTGAATTTTCTTCACAGTAAGATAGTATTTTTCCATATTTCTTTTTAATAATGCTAGCGTAACTATTTAAAGACACTATCCATATAATATATCACTTACTAAACAAGCGGAACAGCGCATAAATGCATTTGAATATAAATGTTACTGACAGGTTCTAAGAATATCTTGGGTAAAGAAAAGATCAAATGCATCCATACTTCAAGAGCTGAATATTGAAGAGGGTTGGCTAGTAAAGACAATAAAACAAAGAAAATTGAAATATTTTGGTCACTTGAAACGTCATGGAAGTCTAGAGAGAACAATAATGGAGGGGTATATGTCTGGGAAGAGAGGAAGAGGAAGGCCAAGGAGAAGATGGGTGCAGGATGTGGCAGATGATCTCCAGATGGGTGTATCAGACGCAGGACATCTTGCTCAGGATAGGAAGGTTTTCCGGAGGGTTGTTATGGCAGCGAGGTTCCGCGAGGGACATGCTACTGAATGAATGAATGAATGAATCCATATAATTCCTTTCTGAATACTACGCTAACAAAGAATATTCGAAATGTTGACAGTGCGTGTTTCTGTAATAACATGAAATTCGCTTACATCATCTACCTTAGAGTGCTGTGTCACATACAATTCACACATCTGAATACGAATACTCTAAGAGGTTTTCGAATATTTCGAACTATTTTGCATGCGATCTTTTCTTTGGAACAAAAGAGTTTTTGAGACATTATATTAGGCAATTCAGGAAGTCTTCCTGGTTCTCTCAGCTACGACTAGCCGTCTTTACAGATAATACATAATTTGTATTATAACATAATAATATTGAAGCAAACACTAACATGACGACTCAATAAACAGCAATGCCAGTGTATTTAAAGGTGAAAGTGCAACAGAATCTTGCGTTTCTTTTCAAACGTCGGAGCAAATACGGTAAGTTGAGCAGGATATAACCAAGAATAGTTTGTGTACACTTCTAGGAGGTTGAATTTTATTTTTACTTGCTACATATTATGAGTTGAGGACTCTTTCACAATTACTTTAAAAAATGGATTTTCAAATTTGAATATTACAAAAACATTCATTGAGTGGCATCGACAAATGGGGAAAAAATGAACATAGAGACAGAGGCTAGCACATAGAGACAGAGATTAGCACATAGAGACAGAGGCTAGCACATAGACACTTGTACATAGAGACAGAGCTTAGCACATAGAGACAGAGGCTAGCACATAGACACTATCACATAGAGACAGAGATTAGCACATAGACTTTATCACATAGAGACAGAGATTAGCACATAGAGACAGAGGCTAGCACATAGACACTATCACATAGAGACAGAGATTAGCACATAGACTTTATCACATAGAGACAAAGATTAGCACATAGACACTATCACAAAGAGACAGAGACTAGCACACGGAGACAGAGACTTGCATACAGAGACAGAGACTGGCGCATAGAGCAGAGACTAGCACATAGAGAAAGAGACTAGCACCAAGAGACCGAGATTAGCACACAGAGACAGAGATTAGCACATAGAGACAGAGATTAGCACCAAGAGACAGAGACTAGCACACAGAAAAAGAGACTAGCACATAGACACAGAGACCAGCACACAGAGACAGAGACTAGCACATAGACACAGGGACTATCACACTGAGACAGAGACTATCACATATAGACAGAGACTAGCACGTAGAGACAGAGACTAACACATAGAGACAGAGACTAGCACACTGAGACAGAGACTAGCACACAGAGACAGAGACTAGCACATAGACACAAAGACACAGAGACAGAGACTAGCACACTGAGACAGAGATTAGCACATAGGGACAGAGATAAGCACATAGAGACAGAGATTAGCACCAAGAGACAGAGACTAGCACACAGACACAGAGACTAGCACATAGAGACAGAGACTAGCACACAGACACAGAGACTAGCACATAGAGACAGAGACTAGCACAAAGAGACAGAGACTAGCACATAGATACATAGACTAGGACATAGACACAGAGACTAGCACACTGAGACAGAGACTAGCACATAGAGACATAGACTAGGACATAGACACAGAGACTAGCACACTGAGACAGAGACTAGCACACAGAGACATAATAGACTAGCACAGAGAGAGAGAGACTAGTACATAGAGACAGAGACTAGCACATAGAGACAGAGACTAGCACAAAGAGACAGAGACTAGCACACAGACACAGAGACTAGCACATAGAGACAGAGACTAGCACAAAGAGACAGAGACTAGCACACAGAGACAGAGACTAGCACACAGAGACAGAGACTAGCACATAGAGACCGAGAATAGCGCACAGAGACAGAGACTAGCACACAGAGACAGAGACTAGCACACAGAGACAGAGACTAGCACATAGAGACAGAGGCTAGCACAAAGAGACAGAGACTAGCACATAGAGACATAGACTAGCACACAGAGTCAGAGACTAGCACACTGAGACAGAGACTAGCACATAGAGACAGAGAATAGCACACAGAGAAAGAGACTAGCACATAGACACAAAGACAAAGACTAGCACACAGAGACAGAGACTAGCACATAGAGACAGAGACGAGCACACAGAGACAAAGACGAGCACATAGAGACAAAGACTAGCACACAGAGACAGAGACTAGCACACAGAGACAGAGACTAGCACATAGAGACAAAGACGAGCACATAGATACAAAGACGAGCACATAGAGACAAAGACTAGCACACAGAGACAGAGACTAGCACATAGAGACAGAGACGAGCACATAGAGACAAAGACGAGCACATAGAGACAGAGACTAGCACACAGAGACTGAGACTAGCATACAGAGACACAGAGACAGAGACTAGTACATAAATAATAAGGTTTCTAGAAAACTAATATGCATTTGCCATATTAAATGTTTTACATGTCTGCAAAAAAAACAGTAAAGAAGCCTCTGAAATAGCATCCAAACGCTTCACCTCTGACCCGATGGTCGTGGGTTCGAAGCCGCATCGTGTCAGGTGCCCCCCCCCCCTTTTTTTTCCCGAAAAGTAACCCTGGCTGCTAGGCTAACCCCGCTGAAAAAGATACCAACTGAAGACCTCGAAAGTAAGGACCGCCGGCGCGATGTTGACCATATCATCCAGTGATGGACGATCGGGCTATTCAAAAAAAAATAAATAATAATAATAATATTAATAATAATAGCGTAGCATCACATGACTAATGCGTCATTGACTTGAAAAGGGCCTGAATAAAAAAAAAAGAAGAAGAAAAGAACAGTAATGGAAATTATGGTAGCTAGATGACAAAGCAAGGATCAACCAGCCCGATAAGGATATCAAGGACACCTTAAAGTTCACGAAGTTGGATTGTTTGTAAGTGTCTGGAGGTTTTCTGTCTTTTCCTGAAAATCCCTTGGCAGTTGAAAATCGAAAAGAGTAGCCATACGGCGCTGCCGGAGCAGAATTTAGAGTTAAACATCTACCCAAAATATTTCAGAATCCTCGCCGGTGCTATGGAGTCCGTACACTGCCCTGAGCCACTTCAGTCTCAGACTTCTGTTAGAAGTAGAACGGAGCACTTATGGGCTACTACCCGTGTGCCATGATGTTGATCCGTTGTTCAAACTTCAAACTTCCTGATGGGTGCGTCTCAACAATTAGGTAAACTATCTTGTCCGGGAGCATTGAGGACTTTTAGACGTTTGATGAAGAACTACACATTCAAAGACACCAGCTGTCATTGGATGATAGTTGTAGGTAATATATAACCTTAGGGCCGCCAAGTTGCTTCTAGGCACTGTACTGTCGCTGCTTTCTAGACTTCTGGCATGTCAAAGATATTTTTTTTTCCAGGTAATGGCGCGTCCTTTACAGGACGTTGCAGAACCAACCCCAGCATTTTGTGACTGATTTCAAGCAATTTTAAGTTCAATAGTAAGTACACTGCTGGCTGCACGATTGACTCTCGATACAAGTGGTGAAACCAACGCAAGGCGGTCTTTTACCAAATCGCTTGCGGCTGGGATGAAACCCGATACCTCCGATTTAGGAAGCGCGCTCGCAACGCCTAAGCCACATGAGCCGAAAGGTCCTGGATGGGAGAAACTTATTTCATGACCTCTCCTCATTTATTGTAGTTTTTACTTTTGGTTTCAACTTTCCATTCCTATTTTCGTGGCTTTGTTGGCTTCGTCTTTTTACTGATAACTGCGAAAACTGTGTTGAATTGATTTTTCAAATGCTCACTATTGTTGTCAAAAGGAAAGTAATATCAACTAATGGAGTGGAGTATACATAGAAGTGTATGTGTGTGTGTGTGCGTGTGTGTGTGTGCGTGTGTGTGTGCGTCTCTGCGTGTGTGTGTGTGTGTGTTTCGGTACCAATGAACGAAAGGATTTAGTACTCCTTTAACTGCCCTTTATTTTGGAACGTTTTCTGTGTGTGTCATGTACGTGCGTGTGTATGCGAGTGTGTGTGCGCGTGCGTGTGTTTGCAAGTAAGTGTGCGTCTGTGAGTGTGTGCGTGTGTACGTGTGTGCGTGGTGTAAAGGCAATACTTTACCCCATCAACAAAAGAAGCAATAGAAAGATCAGTCAGAAGAAATACTGAGGGATAACAGCTTTTATCTGAGAGTAACAAACATAAATATTGATTGCAGCAAACCAGTTCTTGAGTAATGAATGATACAATGATTTATACTTGCTCCTACAAACAGATGGCGGTCACAAATCGTATCCTTTGGCTGATCAATGTAATTTTGCTCCTAACCTTGACCTTCTCAATGGCGGAAGGAAGTAACAGCTGGAATCATGGGTAATTCTCTTTTTTATTTTTTTTATTTCTTTGCAATGAACTCCTAGTTCGACAGTGTAAGATGGCCGCTAGGAAATATTTGTGGAAATAAAGGAGACGGTAGTAATATTGACATCACACATTTAATGTCTGTTCGTCTGTAAACACTTGTGACTAAAGCCATAATTTAAACATTCTTCCAGGAGAGAAACGGAACCATTTACTTTATTCCTCCTGTCATATAAACAATTATTTGTTGTCACAACCAACGTTAATGCACATCTAGTATTTCCAAGTGCGATAAGTCATTCAATGCTAGTATGTGTAGATCCTGGTATAGGAGCTGAGATGCGATTTCCTAATGATTGTCCATCCAATCAAATGGAAATACCAGTCGTTATCACGTGAAGAGATATCCGATAGAAATTTATGATTGCAATTAATGCAGCAGCGTCATATTGTAATATACGTTCAAAAAAGCTCACTCTTCTCATTCCCACAACATGATGTATGGTGTACACCAAATGACATATTGCGTACACCACATGACATATTGTGTACACCTCATGATGTATTGTGTACTCCAAATGATGTATTGTGCACACCACATGATATATTGTGTACACCACAGGATGTATTGTGTACACCACCGGATGTATTGCGTACACCACATGACATATTGTGTACACCACATGACATATTGTGTACACCACATGACATATTGTGTACACCACATGACATATTGTGTACACCTCATGATGTATTGTGTACACCACATGACATATTGTGTACACCTCAGGATGTATTGTGTACACCACATGACATATTGTGTACACCTCATGATGTATTGTGTACACCACATGACATATTGTGTACACATCATGATGTATTGTGTACACCAAATGATGTATTGTGTACACCACAGGATGTATTGTGTACACTACATGATGTATTGTGTACACTACATGACATATTGTGTGCACCACATGACATATTGTGTACACAACATGATGTATTTTGTACACTACATGATGTTTTGTGTACACCACATGACATATTGTGTACACCTCATGATGTATTGTGTACACCACATGACATATTGTGTACACCTCAGGATGTATTGTGTACACCACATGACATATTGTGTACACCTCATGATGTATTGTGTACACCACATGACATATTGTGTACACCTCATGATGTATTGTGTACACCAAATGATGTATTGTGTATACCACAGGATGTATTGTGTACACTACATGATGTATTGTGTACACTACATGACATATTGTGTGCACCACATGACATATTGTGTACACAACATGATGTATTTTGTACACTACATGATGTTTTGTGTATACCACATGACATATTGTGTACATTACATGACATATTGTGTACACCACATGACATATTGTGTACACCACATGATGTATTGTGTGCACCACATGACATATTGTGTACACCACATGACATATTGTGTACACCACATGACATATTGTGTACACAACATGATGTATTTTGTACACTACATGATGTATTGTGTACACCACATGATGTATTGTGTACACCACATGATGTATTGCGTATCCCTTATGGTCGCAAAGTTTACAAATCTACACTCAGTTGGAGCTATCATCAATGTACGCCTACCACTATTACTATGCGATACGGGCTATCCACCGAATAACGGGCACAAAAGATAGCGGCCAAAGCCGGCCAAACACAGGGCCTCAGTCACGTGTCAATTGCACACTTCCGGCGACCTAATTTACTGTTTTCTGGCGACTACCGCCACCGCCGAGAGTATCCCCCACCTACAGTTGAAACTTATCATGTTTACCAGTGTAATGTTCTGATACTCCTGTTCGTAAAATATATTTGTGTATCAAGTCTCAATTTATAAAAAATATTTAAAAAATAATAAAAATTAGTCATCTGTCCGTGTTACTGGGGGGACGGTGTCCACATGCAACATATGCAGATCTGCTGATGAAAACAAATGTGTTTCAAAACAAAAGAAAAGTGTATTTTACTATCCTAAAAAAACATGTAAAGATGAAGACCACAATATTCATCGATAACCGACGGGTTTTTAAAGCATGCTCTAGTAAGGTGTTCTCTACTCACTTTCTTATATTACATGTTTTTTATATATATATATATATATATATACACACACACACACACACACACACACACACACACACACACACACACACACACACACACACACACACACACACACACACACACACACACACACACACACACACACACACACACACACACACACACACACACACACACACACACACACACACACACACACACACACACACACACACACACACACACACACACACACACACACACACACACACACACACACACACACACATATATATACACACACACACACACACACACATACACACACACACACACACACACACACGCACGCACGCACGCACGCACGCACGCACGCACGCACGCACGCACTTTTTCAGTTATAATTTGAGGTAGTCATCTGACATGAAGAGAAAAAAATCGGGGGGGGGGGGGGGCGAGGAGATGTAACGTTCGTTGATGAGCTCTGTCGAGCACTATTAAGACTGATGTTCATTTCTGTAAGGTTGTTCTTAATGCCATCACTCCATAATTTCCGAGGTCTTCCACTCGATCTAAACCCGTTGTAACGTTTTAGTGTGGCTCGTTGTGGCAGATAGTACCAGGGCATTCTTGTTAGGTGTCCAAACCACTTCATTTGTTGTTATTTGATGACCTGTAAGACTGGCTTTATTTCTAGCATTCTTCTTTTGCAAATATTAATGAGATGATTGCCGATTCCCCTTTTTCCCATACATTTTCATGACATATTTCTGTTGACTCTATCAAAAGCTTTTTCTTGGTCTACGAATGTCAACAAACATGTCTTATCGTTTTCTTTTGCTCTCTCTGTTAGTTGTCTCAATGTATAAATGGCATCTGTGAAACTTCTGTTTCGTCAAAAGCCCATCTGTGCTTCTGAAAGTTGATACTCTGTCAATGGTCTTAGCCTTTTTTCGATGATCTTAGCATACATTTTCCCAGTGTGACCGAGAAGCCATATTCCTCTGTAATTACTACAGTCCCTCTTACTTCCTTTATTTTTCCATAGCGGAACGATGACAGCAGTTTGCCAATCTGATAGTGTTTCTTGATTTTACCATGCCACCTAGAATATTCTCTTTAACCATATTGCTCCCGCTCTCCTGCTGCCTTGATGGCCTCAGCTGGTAGATCATCAATAATTGTCGCCTTCAGTCTAGGGGTGGTACGAATGACATATTCTACTTCATCTAACAATGTACCTAGTTCTAGTTCCTCCGCCGTCGGTTCTGAGTTGTTTTTATGTTCTTCCCTGCTTTTATCTGTTTTATCGCAGCTAAGTAATGATTCAAAGTAATTACTCCACCTTGCTAAAATATTGTTCTATTAAAGGTTGGCCATCTTTATCATTTATAATTTCTGTTGGGTTGTATTCTTCATTCCTGTTTCTTATGCCTTTGATTTTGTTGTTTTTCACTGCTGATTTTTCTTTTTCAGCCAGCTTGCTTCCAAACTTTTTCCATGAATCTCTTTTTGCTTGTCTGATAGTTCTTTTTACTTCTCTTCTAGTTATCCTGTATGTTATGTAATCCTCTTGTGTTCTACTCCTCAGCCAAATTTCATAAGCTTTCTTTTCATTGCCCACAGTTCTTCTTATTTCTTCAGAACACCATGTTGAGAGCTTACGCCCTATGTTACCTTTCCTTTTAGTTCCACAAATTTCTTGGCCAGACTAAATTGTAAAATATTTAACTACTCAGTGGGACATGAAACATACAAGCTAAAAAGTTATGTCAGTTTTGAAACACCACATTCAAACATATGGTATCTGGGAATCTTTGTTAGATGAAGCATGCCATAGGGCACTCTCCATCAGTTTATCGCCACACCGCAAATTACAAGAACCAGGCTGAGATAAAGACGAAGATGTGAAACTAAAGATTCAAATAAGTAAATATTTTAATGAGTTTAACTCTTAATATACTGATGTATGAAACTGCTCTATTTTCTGGCACATTTTCGTCTTTCTCGACGATAGGTTTTATACTGTGCCAGGTGGAGGCATGTGAATCATCTCCCATGGCGCTAGTGGGTGTAACTAGCAAGGTGCGCCCGCAATAATGAACAGTTTTCTATAGCTAGAGCATGAGATTTCAGGACAGTTGTTGTCATCTAATGCATTTAATGTGTTTCTTTTTAGACACTCAGCTCTGAACTTTCTGCAGTCAGTTTTAACTTTATTCCCATTTCCTTCCTGATTTTACCCCTTGCAATGTGCTCTGCTAGAGATTTGTTTCTACACGCCACATTTCTGTATTGACGTACACTTAGTTGCTATGGCACACCAGAAAATGAATGTTCAGTTATGACCTTTATTCGCTGAATCAAACATCTCCCTGGCAACGCAATCTTTCGTTCCCGTGGTCGCTATGTATGGCTGATATCTGATGACCTGGCCAACTCTCTCGCACACCGCTTTGCTCTGTTCGTATCTCTCAGATCACACATCAATATCATATTAAATCCTGGTACCTGGTATTAGTACATGTTGAAACTAAAAATCAGGAAACATTCATGTCTTCTCTCGTACGTGGTCACATGTTCTCCATTCTCATCAGGTGTTCTCTCACATACGACCGCACACATCCAGGTCCAAACTTCAAATGTCTTACTACCGTCTGTCGGTTCACGTCTTCCGTTCCAGTCTCACGCTTTTCTTGTATCTCTGATTCACTCAACACGGGATACTCGAGACCCACTTATCTCGTTTTCCTCTTGTATCGCTGGTCCTCTGACCTTGTCCTCTCCATCGGGAACTCTCTAGGATTTCCCCGAGAATTCACACCACTAGACCCCTCCACCAAAAACGGTCCAAGGTATGAAATTATTAAATAAATTTGTATTTCTCTACTCAGGATTCCAGAAAAAGGCCAAGACCAAGAATCCACTACTCAATCAACAATTGAAGACTTGCCAATCTCTTCTGATGCCAGTCGCAATTCCAACGATCGACACCTAGAATTCAATGACAAAGACACTAAATACAACTTGAGGTTTCAAAACCTTCCAGACAACTTCAAGACATTGTTTCTTTCCGTTGAAGAAATAATCAACAAAACTGGTATATTAATTGTTTGCCTTGATTCGTGACTTGTTTATAACCTTATAACATGTTTTGCAGCAATTATTGAAAGACGAATAGTTGGTCTTTGAAAGAACCTCTTGCATTTTTTTTTAAAATTCAAACTTTTATTAATTGAGCTTGCCACTGAAAAATTGATCCACTGACATGTAATGGCAAAGGATTCCATGCTTTGCCGCGTTAGCACAGTCGATAAGATGCTCGCTTTCAAATCCAGCTGCGATTCGCTGCAGCCCACGGACGATGTTCAAAACCAGGCGGCTACCAGGGTTCACCCAGCCTCTAGGAAATGGGTACCAGAGTTGACACTCTGGGGTAAATGGAGGGACGTCGCTGTAGCTACAGAGTTACGTGCGAACGGCGACACAGGCGGACAATTTGTATCAGCTGTCCGTAGTGGTGTAAGAGCACTTATGGTTTATAACCGTGTGCAGTGACGCTGGTTCACATCTCCCGACTTTACTTTCACCTTCATGCTTTGTAAATGGGGCTACAATAGAGATGTATTCTGCTTACATTTAATAATGACTTACTTTCATGTATTCAGACGGTTCGCCATGTTCATCTGCAGCCTCCTGTGTCTACGCAAAAACTTACTTTCATGAATTCAGATGGTTCGCAATGTTCATCTGCAGTCTCCTGTGTCTTCGCAATGACTTACTTTCATGTATTCAGACCGTTCGCCATGTTCATCTGCAGCCTCCTGTGTCTTCGCCATTGTCTGAAAAGACTAGAGATCTTCTGTTCTTGCCAAGAGGCTGGTGTGTCTAACATTCTTGACCTCATTATTTTATGGCTACTCAAAGTTGCTGATGTGCATTGCTTTCAAAATATGTGTGAAATAGTGTCTATCCTTTCCTACGATTTTCTTTATTCTCTTGTATTCTTCAGTATAATTTGTTCTTTCATATACTTCATTGTTTTAAGTATCTTCTATTCTTCAATATACGGTATTCTTTACAATATTCTAATCTTCCATATACAACACTATTTACTATATTATATCCTTTACTATGCAATATTCTCAAATATAGATTATTCTTCCACAGACAATATACTTTAGTCTATAGTACTTTTCAGTATATGATATACTTCATGGTATTATATTATTCAGTAAACGGACTTTTATCCACGATATAAAGCTTATTTCGGCATATAGTGTTAGATCTCTGTCTTACAGACGAATGACCGCTCTGTGGGTGATGTCAACATCACTTCATCCGCCTTTTTTTTTCCATGACTTCACCTGGTATCCATTTTAGGCTGGGTCTACCTGTGCGTCAAGGTCATAACAAGAAATTATTTATAAAAATATGTTAAGGTTCAAACCAGGGTCAACATGATGGCGCAAGAGTAGTAACCCATTAGTGCCCCGTTCTACTTCTAACCCAAGTCTGAGTCCGAAAAATCTCAGCGCAGTGCACGAACTCCGTAGCACCGGTGAGGATCCTGGAAGACTTTGGGTAGATGTTTAACTCCAAATTTTGCCCAGGCAGCGCCATTATGCTACTCTTTTTTCGATTTCTAATCACCAAGGGTTTTTTTACGCAACAAAACACACGAGCCTCTGATCTTACTACCCAGAGACCAGGAGAAATGACTAGAAGTCCACGTGAAAAAATCCCTGCCTTCACCGGGGCCTGAACTAAGGACCTCCAAAACTCGAGGAGGATGCCATGCCTCGAGACCACGTAGCACCCTAATTTATTTAAATGTGGATTTGAACCGGCGAACTGCTTCAGGAAGCCAGTACATAGTCGCTACAAATGGGCGGCTTCTATATTCTTCAGTATACGATATTATGATGAACACTAAAATTCATAAATGTACTTTATTCTTCGATAAACAATATTCTCTTCTTCTTCTTCTTCTTCTTCTTCTTCTTCTTCTTCTTCTTCTTCTTCTTCTTCTTCTTCTTCTTCTTCTTCTTCTTCTTCTTCTTCTTCTTCTTTTCTTCCACCTTGTATCTCATCGAAGTGACGGGGGGAGATGTAATGTTCGTTGATGAGCTCTGTCAAGAGCACTATTAAGACTGATGTTAATTTTTGTAAGGCTGTTCTTAATGCCATCGCTCCATATTTTCCGAGGTCTTCCACTCGCTCTATACCCGTTGTAACGTTTTAGTGTGGCTCGCTGTGGCGGATAGTACCAGGGCATTTTTGTTAGGTGTCCAAACCACTTCATTTGTTGTTCTTTGATGACTTGTAAGACTGACTTTATTCCTAGCATTCGTCTGATTTCATGATTTCGTATTCTGTCTTTCCTTGAAACTCCTGCAGCTCTTCTAAGGCATTTAATCTCTGTTGTCACAATTTTACGTTCATTGGAGGATGTAAGTGTCCACGTTTGGCTTTGATAGCATAGAAAAATTAAAATTTATAAAAAAAATGAAAAACAAAAAATATTCTCGGCGTATGATATTCCATTTTGAAACATTTTGTTTGTTTTATATTGGTTTAGTATCACTTAAGTACTGATTGATGGCTTTATGTTGCCGATTTCCATATTTATAATTAACACGACGCCCAATAAATTGATATAACTAAACAGTCTTAAAATTGAATAAACATAATGACGTTTTCAATGTTATATCTTCCAGATGCATTTTTAGCATCCGAGGCAGGCAAGCACACTCGGCTGTTATTCAACAGACAGACTCATGAAATTGTAGATGAAAAGCTAGAACCATTGGCTTCACGAATAGAACGCACGCTAGTTCCTGGCACATGGAAAGCTATGACTATCACTCAGGGTTGCTGTCCTTCGTAAGACAACATCTGTGTACATGTGCGTGTGTGTATAGTGTGTGTGTGTGGGGGGGGGGGAGGGGGAGGGGTGTTTGTGTATGTACTCTTAAGTCATCAACATTTTTCTATAATTTACATTTAATGTTTATATTCATTCTGGTCACAATAAAGAGAACAACTGAAAGAACTGCTCCAACAAGGCAACACCAACAACCATGCAAGAAACCAAGCAACCAAGAAGGGATGAGGATTAAGGCATACAGGCTAAAAGAGCCAGATATTAGGGCTAGATACCAGGAGCTTATAGTGAAAGCAATAGGAACTGAAGAAGAGCCATCAGAGGACACTGAAACCCTCTGGTGTAGATTCAAGAATATCCTCACAGCAGCTGCAGCAGAAGCATGTGGTGAAGTCCCAAGTGGAAGGTGGGGACATATGACACCTTTGTGGACATGTAGTAGGGTGGAAGCGACGAAGACTACAGTACAACAGATTAAAGGTCTTTGAGAGGTTTATCCTGGTTTAAAAATGCTAACCGGCCTTTTGAGAAACATTGACAGTTAATAAAGTATACGAAAGATGGGGAAAAATCTGGCTCGCTGGGTATAAAAGATTTTGTCTAGTCTCGCAGCGGGCGATTCGACTTCCGGACCAAACTGTGGAAGCCTGACCCAAGAAGACTGATGCTTTGCACAATGGGCTGGTCTATGGGCATGGCGACCACAGGTAACGTTCGTGGTCGGACTGATGGCAGTCAAGGGTACGTTCAGTGGTTAGTTGGTTAAAATAGATTTTCATTGGTATTCTAGACAAGGAATAGTTAAATGGTAAATTGCTGTATGTTTGAGGTTTTGTTTCAGCACGTGGTCGTTTATGTCGTTACTTTTTGGCCATGCTGATGTGAAGTTCAATAAAATTATGTTCAACGTTGTATTCATAGTTACAGTTGTTTCCTTCAGCTTAGGACTTCTAGTTAGTGTGCTTAGTAGTTTCCTAGTACAGTTTTATGTTTTTAATTTAGTTTATTATTACCTGACTTATTAGACTCTACACAGAAGATCTAATGCCTGGACTAGAATATTATTGTTTCTAGCCCCCACCTGAACGAATCTATCTATTTCCTATTTTCTTTCCTCATTTTTTTAATAGTAGTACTATGGGGCTTTCTGGCCCTGTTACAAATGGCGTCGTCGGCAGGATTTCACACATTACTTGCCACACATCAACACTCATAATCACACATTTCCATGACATCTCCCAATTTTCATGTCCCCAAATCATGCCTCAAATCTGTAGGAGAGAAGAGATCATTTGATACGATGTAAATTCACAACTGTCTTAGAAAGTAAGTGCCCAGACTTGGTTGGGTATTTGGTCATGTGTTGTGGTGCCAGAGATCGCTGCAACATGGAAGATAGTTGAGCCTTCATCTGTTTCAGCAAATGTTTCTCCTCTGCCTGCATCACCTCATCGCCAGTATCCTCCAGAAGATGTGACTCATCAATGACCATATCCATTTCTTCTGCCGCTTTAGTGAAAAAGTTATTCCTCAGGCGTTTTTTTTTCAATCTGTACTCAGTGACATCAATGTTCCTGGCCAGGGCTACACGTTGCCTCACAGCTGGAAGCAGATCCATGTCCACAGGCAGTATGGGCAGTTCTTCACCATTCCTGACACCATGGACAATTTTACGGTAATCTCTGGCATCCTCTGGTGACACCAACATGACACTTAGGCCCAGGTTTGAAGCCCGAGCAGTTCGACCACTCCGGTGGATGTAATTCTCCATTGTTCTGGGCACCTGGTAATGGATGACATGATCTACATTAGCGATGTCCAAGCCTCGCGCTGCCACATCTGATGCCACCAGCAATCCTCTGCTATTTTCTGCAAATCTGTCCAGATTTTTCAACCTCTGCCTCTGCTGCATGTCAGCATGAAGGGGCAACGGACAGCACTTCAAGAGCGTCAATAAGGCTACCAGACGCCGCAAGCAGTGAACTGCTAGAAGACTTCCGCATGCGTCTGGTGCAGGTCATGAAAGAGGCTTCCTCTGCCCCTACTGGCCCAGTGTACTGTGCAGTTCTCAATGCCGTGCACTATATTTCACAAGTGCTGAAAGAATGGAGTGAACTTACGTTTTTCCTTCAATTGTTGTGCTACAAGAATAATCGGTCTTTGAAAACGTCCTGGACAGAGGCATCTTCTGGGACGCAGAAATCACAAATGTCTCAGAGCATTGGACATTCTGGGGACCAGATGGCTGGTTTAGAGTTTGGGGAAGATGACGATTTGGAGAACGTGCTGGCTGGTATCACAGATCTCTTAGTGCAGCACACAGTGTTTGAAGAGATCACATCCCTGTTTGAAAGTATGGAGTCAGACATGATCAGATCAGCATGCCATTATGTTTTCATTGATGTCCAGGCCAGAAGTTTGCCATACAGGAGAGGAAATCCAACTGATCAAGAATCCGGATGTTAACTGATTACTATGTTTTATTGCAGTAACATGTTTTTTTTATTTTATTTTAGGTTTTGCTTGTTGTGTTTTAGTAGTGATTTGATATGTGTTTAACGCATTGTTCTAGCGAGGAGCGGATTAATTGGGGGTTTGTTCTACTCTGATGGTGTCTCGGGCCCAAGCGCACACGCTAACGTGTTCCGATGATATCGCCATTATTGATGTAGAGGGGGGATTTGTAGTGATTTTGCAGATGGTAGCTGAAACTCGAACGCAAATGTTCACTGGATGTTTCATGACTACTGCCATCTTTGTAATTTCTTTTTTTGGGACTTATAATACGTTCCTTATCCAGTTTCCTTGGGACGAGTCATGCTTTGATCATATATCGATGTCAACTATTTTTGGGTGAATGTTATTAATGATACTGCAAGTAACTAGTGATTACGTGATGTTGGGAGGAGTATTTTATTTCAGGTGGCTGTGGCCAGTAATGAGGGATGTAGAACAGGAGTTGGGAGATGATTTTTAGACAATTGATGTTACATATTGTGTAGTTGCCGGGACGTCAACAAAAATAATAATCCGACGTGTAGTAGGGTGGAAGCGACGAAGACTACAGTACAACAGATTAAAGGTCTTTGAGAGGTTTATCCTGGTTTTAAAAATGCTAACCGGCCTTTTGAGAAACATTGACAGTTAATAAAGTATACGAAAGATGGGGAAAAATCTGGCTCGCTGGGTATAAAAGATTTTGTCTAGTCTCGCAGCGGGCGATTCGACTTCCGGACCAAACTGTGGAAGCCTGACCCAAGAAGACTGATGCTTTGCACAATGGGCTGGTCTATGGGCATGGCGACCACAGGTAACGTTCGTGGTCGGACTGATGGCAGTCAAGGGTACGTTCAGTGGTTAGTTGGTTAAAATAGATTTTCATTGGTATTCTAGACAAGGAATAGTTAAATGGTAAATTGCTGTATGTTTGAGGTTTTGTTTCAGCACGTGGTCGTTTATGTCGTTACTTTTTGGCCATGCTGATGTGAAGTTCAATAAAATTATGTTCAACGTTGTATTCATAGTTACAGTTGTTTCCTTCAGCTTAGGACTTCTAGTTAGTGTGCTTAGTAGTTTCCTAGTACAGTTTTATGTTTTTAATTTAGTTTATTATTACCTGACTTATTAGACTCTACACAGAAGATCTAATGCCTGGACTAGAATATTATTGTTTCTAGCCCCCACCTGAACGAATCTATCTATTTCCTATTTTCTTTCCTCATTTTTTTAATAGTAGTACTATGGGGCTTTCTGGCCCTGTTACAGACAGAAGAAGTCAAACTGAAAATAGTAGAAAAGAAAAGGGCATGGAAGCAATACCTGGCAGCCAGGAACACAGCTGAAGAAATAGAGAAATATAAACAATATGTGGCACTCTGTCAGAACAGAGACCAAAAATATTGTGCTTAAAGCAAAACAGAGCATGCAAGAGAAAATCAAAAACTGTTCTACAAGACCCTCAAGAACATGAGGAAGGAGAAAGAGTGCCCACTGAAATTCATAAAAGACAAGGAAGGGGCTCTGTTAACTTCTACAGATAATATCATGGACAGATGGAAAGAATACTACTCAGAGCTCCTTGGCGCTGAGGGAAGTCATGACCCAGAAATAATGGACCTCACAGTTGAGAAGGAAATCATCCATGAGGATGATAACATCAGGATGGTAGAGTTGAAGGCAGCTATTGAGAAGATTAAGCTGGGAAAAGCAGCAGGTCATGATGGTATAACACCAGAGATGGTCAAATATATGGGTGTCGCAGGTGAGCGTCATCTACTGAAGGCAGCCTGGTGTAGTAAAACTATACCAAAAGATTGGGAGATTGCCATCATTATACCTATATTTAAAAAAGGTGATAACAGACAATGTGAAAACCACAGAGGCATATCCCTCCTCAGCGTCCCTGGTAAAAGTTACTCTAGAATTCTCGAGCAGAGACTTAGAAGTCTGGTAGAGCCACAGATGGACGAGGCCCAATATGGCTTCAGAGCAAACCGAAGTACCCAAGACCTTATCTTCACACTGAGACAGATGAGTGAAAAAAACCTTGAATATAAGAGTGAAATGCACCTATGTTTTTTGTATCTGGAAAAGGCATTTGACAAAGTACCCTGGAACAAGCTCTGGGGCTGCTTGGCAGGGAAAAACATTCCAGCAACCCTGATCAATGCAGTACAGAGTTTCTACAAAATCTGCAGAAATTATGTAAGAACAGCAGACCAAAAGTTAGAAGAATTTAAGACCACCAGCGGTGCCAGACAAGATGATATTCTCTCACCTTACCTCTTCATTCTTATGATGGATGATGTCATCAAGACCTGTAAGGAGAAGACAAAGAAGTACTCAGTAGGGTACTGGAAGATGAGACCAATCTGTATATCAGAGCTGGCATTTGCAGATGATGTGGCCCTGATAGCTAAATCAGAGGCACACCTTCAGTCCAACTTACTTGTCTGGAAGGAAGAGCAGGAAAAGAGAGGGATGACCATCAGTATCATCAAAATTAAAACCATGGTGATCTCAAGAGAGGAGAAGAAACACCAGATCATGATGGGACAGTATGCATTGGAGCAGGTTAACCAGTTCAAATACCTTGGAGTTGTATTAGACCGAAATGGAAGCATTAAGACTGAGCTGGCTACACGAAAAGCAGCTACTGGGAGACTCTTCCAGGCCATAAACCGAGGGTTTCTTAGCAAAAGAGAAATTGGCAAGAGGACGAAAATGACTGTTTACCGCTCTACCTATGTACCAGTCCTGACCTACGAGTGTGAGTCATGGGCAATGACAACAGCTCACAGAAGCCAGCTGCAGGCCTCGGAAATGAGATATCTGAGAAAGGTGGTCCAAGTGACAAGAAGGGACAAAGTCCGCAATCAGACAATACGTCAAGATCTTGATACCCAGCCCTTACAAACCCGAGTGGATCAGTCACAGTTACGATGGTTTGGACATGTATGCAGAATGGGAGAAAATCGGCCACCATGTTATAATGTTTTCTTACTGTTTTAAAAGATAATATCTATTTGTAGAAGATAGTAATTTATATTTTTAACATACTGTAATATGTTTTCTCATTAATTCAAATCTGGAACAAGACGTAAGTCTAAAATTGGACGAACAACTCGAACTTTCTGTCGGAGTTTACAGCTGGTGAAGGATAAGAGAAAATAGAATTATCTTATCAATTGTTTATACGACTATTGCTCGTGTGCTTAAATACCTGAATTTCTAAACACTGCGTTAATTTATGCTTGCGATTGTGGGGTCATTCGTAACATGCATTGCTTAAATGCAAAGGTGTTAAAACACTAATTACAATGTGTAGCTGATATTAATTAGACTGAAGATTTCTTTAAGTATTACTAATTCAGATGTTTTAAAGCCTTTTTTATGGGTCATTTTGATTCGGGTCAATTTTTCTGTAGGAAGAAAATATGATTACGTTCATTATACTTTTATCTTTGGTTATAATTATGGTCACTGGTTTCAGCTGTTTGTTGTTGACTCACAGTTTAGTCCTGTGTTATTATCTTTATGTACCCCAAAATGTCAGCAAGAATTTTTATTTTTATTTACATAAAACGTCACTGGATAACTAGCAGAGGTCAAGTTATGAGGAGCAGAGGAACAAGTAAACCAAAAAAAATATGTATAAGCCTGGCATGCAAATATATGTAATGACAATGCTATGTGACTGAGGTGTCCCCTGAATATTGTACCAGGGGCTAAACACCACCCCCCCCCCCACAACCACCCCTACCTCTTAACCTGCCCCGATATTCTCCTTGTAGTTCACATATACAATTTTAAAGAGCATCTATCGTTAGAAGAGACTCACGTAGAAAAGATTTAGATTTAAATTACTTCTTTTATGCCAAAACGGGGTGTAATATTAATTTATATATGAATTTATCTATAAAATGTGAACGTTAAAATTGATTTTATTAGTGTATGTTAAATTTTTCAACATGTTATCTTTCCAGAGTGGGATCCTTCTATTCAGATGCTACGTTTCTAAATAATGTCAGTGGTAGAAGAAGAAAAATAGTACACTTTCCTAATTACATTCCTCAAATGTTTCAGTACATCTACCGCGCGACTTGTTGGTAAGTACAATTACCGCCTCTAGATGTTTCATAAAGTGATTTAGCTTTGCTTTGATTTCGCAAATCAATATAGAAAGATACCCCCAGGGCCTATCGAAAGAGGGGGAGAATGAAGGGCCCAATCAAATTGATACAAACGGTGACGACAATGCTAGCCCCCTGACTTCGATTCTTGCCCAACGTCCGGGCTGGCTCTGTACATGCGGAAAGTGCTACACGGGGTTGCATGGTCTGAGAACGCATGCCGGAAGGATGAAATGCGAGGGTGCTCCACGCAGTAAACGCAGTCGCAAAACTACTACTCCTGTGGTAGTTTCTGAGTCGTTAGGGAACAACGGGCAGGGTGTACCCCATACGCCCGGAGAGGGTCATGACGTCGACTGTGGAGGTGCAAATTTGATGATTCCCGAGGAAGTGCGTTCCAGGATCAGGTTTCCACCTGCGAGCGATAAGGTATCGTGGTGCAAGTTAGAGCGTACATTGTGTGAAAAACTAATTCATGATTTAAAAAAGAAGTCGTTAGGCGACAAGCTTACAAAGTTTGGTAATGTAATACATGAGTACTGTTCCTGCGAGTTCGGGACAGTGGAAAAGGCGCCGCCGGGCGTCAAGCAGAATATAAGCAGTAGACAGAGGGACATTCTGAAGTGCCGGGCAGACAAGAATGCCCTCAGAAAACGGTTCAAAGCCGCTACAGGCAGCGAACGGGAGGGGCTGCATGAAGACTGGTTGCATCTAAAGAACAGACACAGTGCCCTCTCTCGCGCTGAGCGTTTCTGTAACAACAGAAGGAGAACCAAAAGGGAGCGAGAGAAATTCTTTAGGGACCCGCTCCATTTTGCCCGAGGTCTATTCGAGCAACCGAAGTCTGGGACTCTGGTTGTCAGTAAAGAGGAGCTTGAGTCACATTTACGCAAAATGTACTCTGACAAAAAGAGTAAAATATTCTTCTCGGTCATGGCTCGCCGGCTCACATAGTATCTGATGGCGAACAAGTACATCGATACAAGTGTTCACAAAGGTGAAATCCCAGGCGTCCCTGAGTGCCTTGAACACGCGACCATGATTTGGGAGTCTATCCAGAGGGCCAAGCATAAAGAACCGAATTGCACGTTATATGGTTGGACCTCGCCAACGCCTATGGGGCGGTTCCCCATAGGCTACAGTGGCAGGCCCTCGCATGTTTTACGTACCGGCACAGATCAACTAAATGATCGAGCAATTTTTCTCTGTTCGCTTTGCGCTTCTCTACCTCGACGTTTACCACGAGGTGGACTGAGCTACAAGTTGGGATAGCTATGGGGTGCACGATCTCTCCAATACTTTTCGTCATGGCCATGCAGATCATGTTAGACGGGGCGGCCGGCTACGGACAAGGCCTTTAAATTGGGGATCACTGGATGCCTCCACTACGTGCATTTATGAATGACATGACTATAATCACGGGCAGCGAGGAATCTGCATGCACGATTCTGGACAGATTGGACGCGGTGGTCCAATGGAGCGGTATGCAATTCAAACCGCTGAAGTCGAGGAGTCTGTCAATCCTAAAAGGTAAGGTCGCGGCAACCAGTTTTACGGTGGCAAGGAATAAAATCCCCACGGTTCTAGAGGAACCGGTGAAGGGCCTTGGTCACGTTTACGATTCGAAGTTATCTGATAGAGCGGAGGTCCGGCGAATACACGAGTCACTGGCTACAAGCCTGCTTGCGATCGAGCGTTGCATGCTGATCGGGAAGTTCAAGGTCTGGTATCTCCAATTCATGTTGATTCCAAAGATCCTCTGGCCGCTGTTAGTCTACGAAGTGACGAGGACTGCAGTGGAGACAATAGAGAAAAAAATCAACACAGCCATAAGAATGTGGATTGTCTGACTGACGTGGCTCTGTATTGTAAGCAGGCTAAGCTGGTACTCCTGTTCAAATCGATAACCGAAGAGTTTAAAGTCGGCAAAGTAAGACTCGACATGCTCTTGCGCCAGTCTTCAGACCCAAATGTCATCGCTGTACAGCCCGCTCTAAAGACTGGTCTTAAATGGAAGGTCCTAGATGAGATCGAATCTTCCCAGAATGCACTAAAATTGAGGGAAATTATGGGATACACTCAAACCGACCGACGAGGCCTAGGTCACGGAAAAGTCAGTTGGTGGTCCAAAGCCACAGCCAAAGAGCGCCGAGATATGGTGATACAGCAAATTAGGGACAACGAAAACGAGGTTAGGGTTCAAAAAGCGGCCCAACAGTCGCAGCAGGGCCATTGGGTCAGCATGGAGAGCGCCTTGCCAAGAGTACTCACATGAGGTGAGATCTGGCGAATGACTCCGCTGCGACTGAGCTTCATCGTTCGTTCGGCCTATGATGTATTACCGTCTGGTGTAAACACGGTGAAGTCGTCTGCGACTAACGACCTGTCATGCCCACTGGGCAGAGCGAAACAAACGTTAGATCACGTACTGTCCGCATGCAAAAAAGCCCTAGGTCAAAGCCGATACACATGGCGCCACAACAAGGTGCTAAAAGAGTTGGCAGCCGTTGTGGACCAGGCTAGGATGAGGGCCATCGCGAGGGCCAGTCCTACCGTCGTCCTCATATGCTTCCTCAAGGCTTGGCAGTTTCAAGAAGGTAGACTCAACAACGTCGCATACGCTCCATCTATGCTAGACTCTGCGAGGGACTGATTACTGGCAGTTGACCTGCCTAGCCATGAAAGGTACCCTGAGTTAATCCGAAAGACCGGCTTGCGACCTCACATAGTTCTCCACTCTGTGGAGAAACGGCAGCTCATCCTCATTGAGCTGACCGTCCCGTATGAGTCGCGAATGGACGAAAGCCATATGTACAAGCTCGAGAAGTACTGTGACTTAGCAGCCGGTCTGAGGAGGGAGGAAGCGTACACAGGAAGAGTCTTCGCCGTCGAAGTAGGCGCAAGAGGTCTCGTTTCCACTTCACTCTACAATGTGATTAAAGAACTAGGCTTGCGCGGTAATGAACGCGAAAGGACACTTCAACAGCTGGGCGAGGTGGCTGAGAGGGCCTCGAGCTGGCTCTGGACACAACGAAACAACGTAGGGGACGGACGGACCTCGGTGAGCTGGTCCGGGTGTCTAGCGGAAAATAATTTATCATCCCTTAAAGTCCACCGTGTCCGAATTGTCTGCCAGTGTCCCTCTGCTACCTGCTAACAAAGTCATACATGTGTCCGGTAAATCAATCGTAAGCTTGCCGCTCGGTCGTCCAGGTAAGCAGACTGCTTTAATTATGCTACCGCGACGACTTCTTATTTCACAGTACATTCTGCAAAATCACAAATTCATCTTGTCCCTGTCCGAATAACATCCGGTAATTCGTGCAGCAGGGGAAACCAACCCTGAGCTTCATGAACTCAGGTGGGCCCACTCTCTGAAAATGTTTAGGTGCTCGTGGGCCGAAACATTTGTCGACGAGAGGTTACTTCTACTGATGATTGGTAGACCCCTGCTGCACATGCTCCCCTGTGGAGTTTCTTCTTACATCTTATTGCTACTGTTGTTAAAAAATGTTGGTAGAATACACAAGTAATGTGGATAAAAACAGTACATTTATTGTAGGGCATTTTTCGCTCCATCTCGTCATGTGTATTAGTGTACTGCATTGATATCTATATATAATATAAGATCCCTTTTCACGCCTTAAGCGCATTTTAGGCTTTGTCGACCTGCATCGCCATATACCATGATATAGATCCACGCAGCCAGCAGTAAATTTTGATCGCAGTACGTTGGATTACAAGTCGGACTCGCAACGCCTAAGCCACGGACCTGCTATATATAATGTATCCGCATTGTTTAAATTCATTACGGCAAAACATTGTTTAGAATATCTAAGCTCAGACTTTGATTACAGTTACTCACAGTTGAGAAGTTAGACTTCATTTCTTAAGGTTGTATTCCTTCTGGCTCAGTATTGTCCAATAGAGTTCTAGTGTGCATATCCGAAAAATACGCGCACTCGTGATTTGAACGGCATTTTGAAATTTAGTGATTATATCTTTATTTATTTTTTTTTAAGTAGGAACTGGGCAGGCTGGCTTTTTGACAAATGGGCGGATATAAACACAGACAGATAGACATATTTACAGACAGACCGAGCGACCGATTGACCGACCAACCAGCATGCAGGCAGGCCTGGGTTTAAAGGACGTGGAGCATGGTGTTGATGTTGTGTAGGTTGATGTCAGACTTAAGAGGCTATGCTTAATTCAGTATTACATATCAAGTTACCTTTAGCAAGATGCAAAATATAGTCACACAATAATAATAATAATAATAATAATAATAATAATAATAATAATAATAATAATAATAATAACAATAATATTTCAACTGCAGCGATTTAAAAAAAATGTTTTAAAGTGCTACATAGAACCTGTGTTGTTTAATGCATGTGAGACATGGGCAATAGGCAGACATGCTGACAAACATTTACTCACAACAGAGATGTGGTTTTTGAGCAGAACGCGAAGGATACTAAGTATAATAAAAAATAAACAACAATTAAATGTAGACCGGCTGTGTTTGTTTGACATGTTATGAGACGAAATGGACTCGAGAACTTGGTAACTGGTGGTAATATTGATGGAAAGAGAGGACAAGAAAGCAAAGAGATGCATATCTGGATAGTCTAGCCAAATAGATAGGACAGGACGAGAACCATGATTTGATCCATGTTTCTGGTTGTGAGATAGCGAAACATGAAAGGCTGGCTTTATCGACACGTCACGTTATGATCACTACAGATCAAAAGTTTATGTTTTTTTTTTTTTCGCCAAAAATAATGATTATCATTACAAACTTTATTCGTCATGTCTGTGTATGATATACTGTATCGTAAAATTTCACTTTTTTTTTTCTTGTTTGTAGTCTGGATAGCTATGGAGCAAATGGGCACTGTATACAAGGCTATGTGACAATGAGCTTGGCCGTTTTTGATACTAGATTCGACCCTCCAATTGCCTTCGACCTGTTCAGCATACCTTCCTACTGCAGATGTGTTCACTACTAATGCAAGGAAACTGCTGTGTGATTGTTCTTGCTGACTACTAATTTCGTATACAAAAGGGAAATTTAAAATCCAGCAGTTTGTCTCTAGGATGTGGAGGGTTGCGAACAACAGTTGTACTTCAGTAGCTAACAGCAATAAAGTTGGCGAGTCATTTCATTTTTAGTCAGTTAAAATCTATCTGCCTGCCGGCGTGTGCGAGTATGTGTGGCAGGTATACACCTTTGTGGTGTGTACGTGTGTGTGCCGATTTTATGTGTGTCTGTCCAATCTCTGCCTGTCTATCTGCCTGTCTATCTGCCTGTCTGCGTGTGAGAGTATGTGTGGTGTGTAAATGTGTGTGTCGTTTGTGTGGGTGTGTGTGTGTGTGTGTCCAATTTCTGCCAGTCTACCTGCCTGGCTACGTGTGCGTGTGTCCAGTCTATGCCAATCTATCTATCTGCATACCTACCTGCCTATGAGTGCGTGTATGTGTTCGTGTGTGTATGTGTGTCTAATCTCTGCCACTTTATCTATCTGCATACCTGCCTGACTGCATGTTTGCGTGTGTTTCTCTCTCTCTCTCTCTCTCTCTCTCTCTCTCTCTCTCTCTCTGTGTGTGTGTGTGTGTATGGTCTGTATGCGTGTGTGTATGTGTGCGTCCAATCTCTGCCAGTCTATCTGCCTGCTAGTCTGATTGAATAGAGCGTTGAGATGGAAATGCTGTGAGCTAATACTGTATATATCTCTAGTGCAAGCTTACATGCCAAATTAAGTTTTGAAAGCTTGGTTTATTTGCATGAAAGATAACCGTAGATCTTACGTGCAATATCTAAAACAATGAATGGTTGGATGTTGCCTATCCTTTACATGACATTGCAGAACCAACCCCAACAGCCCCTGGCTTGCGAAACCAACGCAGGGGGCATGGCCCGCAGCTGGGATCGAACCCAGCATCCCGGCATTACGTAGCGTTCGCATCGACTTAGCCACAGAGCCGACAAAGCAATGAATAGGCCTATACAAAATATTTGTTTTCCTTAAACAAGAGCTGCAGCAGCAGAAGAAGAAGAATACGAAAATATGACGGTGATTATGATAATAATGATTAGGAGAGTGAGGAAAAGTAATAGTAATAATAATAATAATAACAATAATAATAATAATAATACTAAAAATAATAATAATAATAATCATAATAAGAAGAAGAAGAACGAAAAAAAATGAACGAACTTTATTGTCAAAGAGCCCTAAATTGAGCCTGCAGGCCGGTCTTATATTCGGCCCCTTTAAACACTCATCATTCCTACTTCAACTATTTTATTAAGAGACAGACAGACACACAGACAGACAGACAGATGCACACACTTATAATATCACACGCACAAACATTTACAAATAATTTCTCATAAAGAAGAAGAAGATGAAGAAGAAGAAGAAGAAGAAGAAGAAGAAGAAGAAGAAGAAGAAGAAGAAGAAGAAGAAGAAGAAGAAGGAGGAGGAGGAGGAGGAGGAGGATAAGGAGGAGAAAAAGAAAATAAAGAAATGTTTATGGGCGGGAAACGCAAACAGACTGAAGCGCAAAGAAATCCAGCGAGGGAAAAAAGCCTGAACAATCCAAGAAATTTAATTTTTTTTTTTTTTTTTTTTGTATGTGTTAAAGTATTAATTTTGAAACAATGTAACGGATAAAAACCTCAACAAAAACTTAAGAACTAAACCTGGAAAATTCAAAGGATGAAAAAGCATACAAAACTAAAGCCCGCACACATAAAAGTCGATGTGACCTGATGATAAAAAAATAGAAAATACTTCACACACAAAAAATGATACATGATAGAAAAATAGCGAGGCGTGTAACTAACTTTATTAACTGTACAGGACTTACTATGGCTGCAGTAACACAGTAGTTTGATACTTGCCTGTACGTCTGTTGGTTTAGGCAGGCATTAAGATGAATGTTTGTAACACGAGTACATAACTGGCATAAACTCCTGGTTGGCTCACGTAAAACATGTTCCTGCAAAATGTCAAAGAAAGTAAAAGCGGTCTGCCTAATGTTGACCACATCACCCATTGAGAGCCGATTGATCTATACGAAATATGGATCGAGTTCCATTACACCCCTTAAACCACTTGCATTAAAATGGTTACTCTACCTTCCTGTGCATGCTTTGCGAATCCGACGCTATGACAATATGTGTGACTAAGATATTTTCCACCCAACTGAACGCCGCAATTACCGCCTCAACATCCACTCTCATGCTGGGTGTGGTGATGTCACATGCCAAGCTTTCTTCAGTTATCCTTCTCCCACATGCTTTTGCAACGAAGCCCAATCTACTTTTCCTGTCCCTTGTAACTGACCCATCAGTGTATATTGTTCTCTATCAGCTGTTGAACCTCTGCATCTGCAAGTCCAGCCGCCCATTCTCTGCACTCTCGTCCCAAAGTAATTACTACTTTTGTGCAGCTCTTCTTTGCCCTCTGGTACTTTTGCCCTTTCTTCTCTGGCCAATTTCTTGAATGTTGCTGGCTAAATTATCTCCTCCTCCTCCTCCTTCTTTTCTTCTTCTTCTTCTTCTTCTTCTTCTTCTTCTTCTTCGTCTTTTTATTCTTCGGCATTTAGAGCCCATGAGGTTCATTGCTGCAGATATCACCCTCCTCCACGCATCTCTCTGGCTGGCCCTCTCTTTCAGTTGGTGACACTAAATGTTTGCAGGTCTGGAAATTATCTCTTCGTCATCTTATTGGTCTGCCTCGTGGTCTACGACCATTCATCTCCCTTGTGTATACAGTTTTTACTTCTCTGTCATCTGACATTCTTTCAATATGCCCCAACCATTTCAGTATATTAGCTCTCATGATGCCAGTGATCAATGGTGATTTAAACAGATTGTGAATTCCGTTGTTGATTCTCACTTGCCATTTTCCGTTGTCTGCATCTTTGATGAGTCCAAAGATTCGTCATAAGACTGTTTTTGAAAACCTGTAATAAGGCTTCATCTCTTTTAGCTGTGCTCCAAGTTTCAGAGCCATATAAAATTACTGGTCTTATCTACATTTTATATATATTTTGACCTTGGTGTTGCGAGACAGATACTTTGACTTTGAGATGTTGAAAGGCATTGTATACTTTATTTCCAGATTGTATTCTAGACTGTATTTCTTCTCTCGGCATGTTGGAGCAGTTGAAGTTTACACCCAAGTACTTATATATTTCCGTTTGTTTGATAACCGGCTAAACTACCAAGTGCATAAAATACTGTACAGTCCCCACAGTGTGTAGTTAGACAGGACAGCAAACACATGCGCACATTATGCAGACTACCCACTCTAACTAAAACTTCAAAAAGAAACAAAGCCTCAAGAGCAAGGTGTGCTGAGCAAGCTACGGGGAACCATGACGGACCTGCTGCTGACATGCGAGTTCATAGAGGCAACCCACCTGATGGTCTGACCTGAGCATACGAAATAATTGTTGGCTGTTATTTTGTTATTATAACATACTTACTACTTTAATTCACAAGTTCTTTCTCCTGCAAATGACTTGGTACATAAACTGACCTGACTCGGGACTAGACTTATAAGTATTCTTCATTGCTCGTCCTAAAGACGTATTTGTGTTGCTCTTTTTGACAACATAGCAGCGATTTTTGCCCATTCCAGCCGACACAGCCAACTTCACCATAAATTCATTGTCATATATGCCCCAGTTATAATCCGGGTGATTTTAACAAGACATATTTTTTTTGAATACGTCTAAATCATTACTATATATGTTGCCCAAGTAAGCCTTCATAGTAATCTTTATTTTGTTAATGTCTTACAAAACTGAAGCCAAGTGTATTAATTAGGCGCTGATAGTTTTCAACATCGCCTTACCTTATTTTATTATATGTTAATCCACCATTGCAGGAAATTATTATATGATATCTGCAAGCTTTTGTGGTAAATGCCGTTTGGTCATCAGTAGTTCCGCCTGATCAGGGAAACATATGCCCCACTGACAATCAGAAGTCCCGCCTGATTAGTGAAACATAGTCCACACCATCGATCAGACGTCCCGCTTGATTAGGGAAATATAGTCCACATCATCAATCAGAAGTTCCGCTTGATCAGGGAAACATATCACAGTATCTATTAAACAGAGCTCTCTTGACTTTTGATTGTAATCACATATCTGTTCACCACGTTGATTCTTTTCTGTTGCACTAACGAAATCGCTGTTTGACATTACATTTAATGCTAACACTAGAACAATACATGTTTGCTTTTCCTGTTATATTCTAGCAGTTCTACAAGTCGGCATCAGCGGCTTATGGGTTATGAATGTAGTGTTAAAATTCCAGCACACTGTGTGCATTGGGTTCGACAATGAGATAAACATTGAACCGTTTCAAAAGTGATTGAAAACTACTAAACTTAAATTTGCCGGTTCTTTTATTTTATTCCACCTATCTTGAGGCCTCTTAGATGTTGTGGGGATTTCCCGGTATCGTCTAATACTATAGGGGGGTTAGGGTTAGTGTTAGTGGATGTTTATTTTACACCCTAACACTCCTATACTACCTATACTATTGAACATTCCGAGGAATTCCATACGTGTTCTCAGATGCTATAAGATAGAGTGAAATAAAATAAAAGAACCAGTTTGGCTACTAAAACCATAAAAAGCACACAAAGGTTGGAGATGGTTCTCTACATCCTGCAAACGGTATGCAAATAACATTAAAATTTATCTGACAAGGTAGCAGAGAATATCTCAGAAAGTATGAGAAGAAAGTTAATTATTCTTTGAATAGGAAGCATAATATCACCAGCAAGCACAACTGAAGGTGAGATCAATGACAGATTTAACAGGGGAAACCAACTCATTGGGCAAATGGCACTAATGCTTAAAAAAAAAAAAAAAAAACGTGTCAGTAGAGAAAATTAGAACACTCTGTAAAACAATCTTCTTGCCAAACCTGTGCTACCAATGCCAAACCAGGCAATGGTAGAAAAAGAGGAAAGCAAAATTA